TGGGGGCCTATTCTGAGCCCAGGGAGGTCAGAGTGATGTGGGACAGGCAGGTCCAGGGGCTGAGATGCAGGCAGGGCCAGCCGCCTAGGACCTGCAAGGGCAAGTAGACTCTGTCCTGGGGCCAGCAGAGGCACTGGGGAATTGCCTGGCTGTCCAGTGACAACCCACTCCAGACTTCTTGCCTGGGAAGTCCCATGGACAGAGGAGCCTGGGTGGGCTGCGGCCCATGGGATCACAGAGTGACCTCATGTACACGACTGAGTGAATAAACACAGCAACCAGTGCTTAGGACTTGGTGCTTTCACTGCTGTGGGCCGGGAGTCCTTGACTCTGTCTAAAGTGGAGAGAACAGGAGACTTCCCTGTGGTCCAGTGGCTAAGACTCCATGCTCCCAATGCAGGGGGCCTGGGTTCCATCCCTGATTAGGGAACTAGATGCCACAACTAAGAGTTCTTATGCCGCAATCAAAAGAATCCTGCATGCCACAAAGAAGATGGAAGATGCCACGTGCCGCAACTAAGACCCGATGCAGCCAAATAAAAAAATAAAGAGGAGGGGACAGAGGTATGGGCCCACATTTCTGGCCTTGTAAACAAGCTCCACCCCCACCACACCCAGACAAAGACTCTCCTCCGCCAAACCTGAGTCAGGCTCCTCTGAGCTCTCTTCTCAGCTATAGGCTCTGACCTTGGGTCCTGTCCTTGGCCTGCCTAGGCCAGTTTTAGCAAGAATCCTACTGGCTCAGTTTAGCAAGAATCCCTCAGCCTTGAAACCCGATCAAGTCCCTCATTCCCCACTCTGGACCTCTTACTCTTCTTTAGCAGGAATCCTGTCAAGTCACTTTAGCTAGAATCCCTCCAGCCTTCAGGTTTCCTCCATCTGCTGACCCCCGCCCTCCTTGGCTCTAAATCCTCTATTGTTCGCGTATTCAGAGTTGAGCTTCATTTCTCTCCTGGGGCAAAACTCCTTTTGCAGTGGTCCCTGAATAAAGGCTGCTTTACCGCCTTACCAAGCGTCATGAATAATTTTTCTTTAACACCTGTCCACACTCAAGGTAATTCCAACTTCATCCCTATTTGAGGATAAATCTTATCCAAGGTGCTTGCTCGTGAGCTTGGGTTTGTTTCAGGAAGGATGTGTAGACCCAAGCAGCGGCTCCCTCCAGTGGCACAAACTCTATCCCCTGTTCCATCTTCATTTTGAGTGCAAGTGTGTGTGTGTGTGTGCGTGCACCTGCATACATGCGCTTTCAGTCATGTCTGACTCTTTGCGACCCTATAGACTATAGCCTGCCAAGGTCCTCTGTCCATGGAATTTTTCAAGCAAGAATACTGGAATGGGTTGCCATTTCCTACTCTAGGGGATCTTCCTGACGCAGGGATCTAACCTGTGTCTCTTGCATCTCCTGTGTTGGCAGGCAGATTCTTTACCACCGTGCCACCTGGGAAGCCCCAGACTACTTTAAGTGCAAGGCCTAGGGTAAAATCAGTGAGAACTGTGGAGCTTCCTTGAGCCCTGTGCCCACCTTTTCCAACTCAGCTGCCCCATCTGCGGCAATGCTCTTCTCCCAGGACCTCCTGCCAAATACCTCGAAGGCGTCTTATACATCCCACCTCAGATCCTAGTGGATCTGCTTTTTTTTTTTTTTTTTTGGGATGTGGGCCATTTTTAAAGTCTTTATTAAATTTGTTACAATATTTGTTCTGTTTTATGGTGGTTTTTATTTTGGCTGCAAGGCATGTGGGATCTCAGCTCTTCCACCAGGGATTGAACCCGCACCCCCTGCCCTGGAAAGTGAAGTCTTCACTACTGGACCGCCAGGGAAGTCCCAGGATCTGCTTCTAAAATTGACATAGATGCACAGCCCTATCGTCACTGCCCTGGTCTGGGCCACTGGCATTACTTGCCCAGTTTTACACACTAGCCCCCAGCTACTCCTTTCTTGACCTCTTTTTAAATTTTAATTTATTATTTTTTTGGTCACACTGCAGGGCATTGCAGGATCTTAGTTCCTCAACCAAGGATCGAACCCTTGTCCCACTCTGTGTTGGGTGCACAGCGTCATAACCACTAGGCAACCAGGGAATTCTGCCTTCTTAATCCAGCATCCTGAGTGGTCCTCTTATACTCTGAGCAGACATCTCTCCTCTACTCAGAACCTCCCCAGGCTCCCTCCCAACTCAGGGTAAATGCTGGAGTCCTTGTAACAGACTCCACTCACCATGACCTGTCCCTTCCCCCGGTTTCCTCTCTACTCTTCCCCCTGTTGCTCTCCCCCTGCCCACTCAGCTCTGACCACACTGCTCTCTCAGTTATCCCCTACCCCAGGGCCTTTGCACTGGCTGCTCCTTCTTCCTGAAGCCTCTTTTCCTGGGATATTTCCATGGCCAGCTTCTACCTTCCTTCAAACTTTCGCTCCCAAGTCACCTTCCCTTGAGATCCTCTTGCAGCCCTGATTTAATGCCACAACCTGCTACCCTCTCCTCTCTGCACCTCCCTGCCTTGTTGTTCTCCCAAGCTCATGACACCTGCTGACTCTGCAACTTACTCATTAATGCTGTTCATGTTCTTTTCTCCTTGGTGCTGAGCATCCAAATGGAAGAGTATCTTAGACGGAAATATCAAACCCCTCTGTGCTTCCTCTAGGTATATCTTAGGAGAGAGTGGTCTCTGAGACACATGTCACCCGGGCTCTTCTTGCTTTGGACAACCATGACACGGTTCCCAGCCTCTAGGTCCCTGAGTCCTACACATATGCACACGTGCTACCATCTCAAGCCAACATCCGAGGGATTGGTTTTCAAATGTGTACAGATGCTCCTCTGATGAATATTGTACAGCCGTTTAAACGCGCTACTGAATTCCTTTTAGCTGCTTGGCCGTGATTTATTTTCTCTGTCGACCAATACTCTCAATGCCACCATTATTGAATGGAAGTCCTCCTTCTCAAAATAGTTGGGAACGCCTTGCCTAAGGCCAGAAAAGGGATCTAATAAACAAGTCTGGGGACCCCTGGCCATCCTTCATACGGGTTCCTGCCAGGAACGTTGCCCACAATTACTCTCACCTACCCCCAGGCAGGGTAGCAGCAGCTGCCAGGGAGCAGGGGCTCACCCACCAGAGTGAGGCAATTCATAATCCGTTAACCTTGAATTCTGCAAGTCCTGCCGCTCCACGAGCTGGGGCTTGTGAGAGCCGTTCTCAGCTTGGGAGGAATTCAAATGAGCTCGTGCAAGCAACATGCACCTCATTGTTGCACATCCCGGGTGTCTGGGCACCGTGTTCTGTACACTGTGGCCGGGGTTCAGGGAACATGGTTATCTTAGAGCCGAGATGCAGATGGAGTGCTGACAGTCAGACCATCCCACCTTGCACAAGAGATCCTGAGAAGGAGTCTGTGCAAATTTGATCTGATGATCTTGGTTCAGATGTTAATAATAATGTGTGCTCAGTTGCCTCAGTCATGTCCAACTCTGCAGTCTCAAGGATTGTAGCCCACCAGGTTCTTCTGTCCATGGGGATTCTCCAGGCAAGCATACTGGAATGGGTTGCCATGCCCTTTTCTAGGGGATGTTCCCCACCTAGGGATCGAACCCGCGTCTGCATTGGCAGGTGGGTTCTTTACCACTAGCGCCACCTGGGAAGCCCGTTAATAATACTGGCCAGCATTTACGGAGCACCTACTATATTATATGCCAAGTGCTTTTTGCAGGCACAGTCTCATCACAACAGCCCAGCATTCCTCCCTCCACTTTTTTTTTTAATAGATATGGAAATAGAGAGCTTTAGTAACTGGTTCAAAGCCCACAGGTGGTCAAGCCCCAGGGTTGCCTGACCCCCAAAGTCAGTATTCTTGACCTTTCTGTCCACCCCCAAACTTGAAGATTCTGGGTTGGCAGCCTCTGTGGGGGCACCCCTGTCTGATAACTGCAACAAGTTCCTGTCTGGCATGCTATCTCCTTGGGTCATACTGCTAAGGATCTGGGCTGGGTGGGGATGGCCTGCCAGGGGAAGCTCCATTTCTGTATCTAACACGTGGGCACCTTGTGTGGCTCATTCCTGGCGGTTCCATGCCTTGATAGGGAGGCCAGGAGACTGCAGCTTCATTCTGCCAGGGGAGCCTGTCGTGGTGGTTCATACAGCCCATTTCTCCCTGGAAGAGAGGCCCTCAGGGCAAGCACAAGCCCTTCAGACTATTGCCCAGCACATCTGGTGAGGCACCCCTCCCGACAGGTCCTGCAACTCCAGAATCAGTAATGAAGCACCCTTCCCAGTGGGTCTAGCAGCTTCCTTGGTGTGCGAAACCCTCAACTCTGCAGCTCAAACTCTTTGGGGCTCCTTCCTGGGGTTCCCCATAGGGGCGAGGGTGCTGCGGGCCCCTGTTATTCGTGGGGACCCCAGCAGGCTTGCTCTTCTCTCCAGAGGGCGGGACTTCTCCGGTTCCTGCGCGAGACGACCCCTCCCGGCTGGTTTTGTGGCTTCTCCTCCCTCTTTCTCCGAGAGCGCCTCTCTGGCACTCTTTTGCTTCTCAGACCCTCCACTCGGGTGCGGGTCTCTTTCCCCGGCGCCCCTTCTCGGCTGGGCCCCCCTCCGCCCGCTCCCGGCGAGGGGCGCCCCCTCTCCCCGTGAGGGCGGGAGCCAGAACAGTGTCTCCGGCCGCCTGCAGGTGTCTCCCCACGGAGGGGCGCGCGTCCCTGCGCCGTGGCCGCTGCCAGGCGCCCGCGGCTCCTCGCCGAGGTGCACTCGCGCTCCGGGCTCCGGGCGCGCCGGAGCCGCTCCGCCGCCTCCCGCCCCCCGCGCTCCCCCGCGCGCCCCCTGCGCGCCGCGCCCCCACCCCCGGGGTAGGGGGGCGGGTCATGGGCCCGCGCCGCGTCCGCCGCCGCCCATCACAGGCGCCCGAGCCCCGGGGCGCGGCGGGCAGCAGCCGCTGACGGGGGGCGCCGGCTGCCAACTTCGCGCGCGGAGCTCCCCGGCGGCGCGGTCCCGGCGGCGCGGGCGGCATGAAGACGAGCCGCCGCGGCCGAGCGCTCCTGGCCGTGGCCCTGAACCTGCTGGCGGTACTCTTCGCCACCACCGCCTTCCTCACCACGCACTGGTGCCAGGGCACGCAGCGGGTGCCCAAGCCGGGCTGCGGCCAGGGCGGGAGCGCCAACTGCCCCAACTCGGGCGCCAACGCCACGGCCAACGGCACCGCCGCCCCCGCCGTCCCCGCCGCCCCCGCCGCCGGGAACGGCCCCCCTGGCGGCGCGCTCTACAGCTGGGAGACGGGAGACGACCGCTTCCTCTTCAGGAATTTCCACACCGGCATCTGGTACTCGTGCGAGGAGGAGCTCGGCGGGCTCGGTGAGTGAGCGGCGGCGCCCCGGGGCTCGGCTCCCGGCTCCCCCGGGGCTGCGCGCTCCCTCCTCGCGCTCGGGCTGGGGGGCCCAGCGCCGCCGCCAGGACGCCGTGCCCCGCGCTCCGCAGGCTCGGCCGGCCCAGCGTTCGGGCGCGGGGAGCGCGGTGGGCAGGTCGCCGGATGGTGGTGGTGGTGGTGTCTGTAGGATGCTGGGCGTTCGGGACGCTCCACCGTTTCAAGGTTCAAGCGGAGCTCCTGCCCCTTACGAGCGCCAGGCGCCTTGGGGAGGCGCGTCTCCCGGCCACCCGCCCCTGCTGCCGGTCGGCGGGGCGCGCGTTCCTGTCCGCGCCAGAACTCATCTTCACGCGCGCCCCTTCCCCTTTTCCCTTTGCGGGGCTCTGGCTACTCCCACCACCCCATCCCGTCCCGCCCAGGGTGGTGGGGGTGTTGCTGCAGGGACTGTTGCTATCTGCTGCCCCCTCCCACCGCAGATTCACAGAGCCCGGAGCCCAGGGGGTCATTCTTCCCCGCACCCCATCCCCAACCCGCGCTCATCGGTTCCTAGCCCCGGCTTGGGGAGTGAGGAGTGGCATTCCGGTTGGTTCCCTGCAAGGGACAAGGAGCGCTTCGCGTCCGGCCCCCGACCCGGGAGAAGATGCGGCGGGAGGCAGAGAAGGCAGGCAGGAAAGAGGGACACCTCTGCGAGGATCCGATCAGAATTGAGGTGGGGGTTGGGGGGTTTGAGGCGGGGGAAGGGGGTGACTTTTCAGAAGACGGATCCAACTGCGCCCTTGCCTATACTCGCAGGAGGCGGCCAGTGCCGGAATGAGGGTCCCCGAGGCAGGCAGCGAGGCTGGGGCAGGACCCCGGGGAGAGCTGCCTGACAGCGGTGGTGCCCCATGCTGGGGACGCTGGTCCACGCCACGCAGAACCTCCCGGACGGTGGAGAGGATGTTGCTCCAAGTCCAAGTGTGGGAACCCTCTTGAGTGAATTGACCTCTCTCCCCAAGGTTAAAACTCTCCATCTGTCGCCTAGCTCTCAGATGTCAACTTGGGCTCTGTGTGTAGTCACACGGAGACAGGAGTGGGCCACAAACCTCCAGTTTGCCCCGAGTTAGGCTTTGGCCTGACTGGTAGACACGACAGAGGGAAAAAGGTGTGAAATAAACCCAGGGAGGCTGCAGTCCCTGCAGGGAATGCTTTTCCCTATGTCTTCCCTGGCTGGCTCCCCCTCTGCTCCAGGGGGACTTCCTGGCAGGGTCCCCTGCAGAGAAGACCTCCCTGTCCCTCTTTGGAGGCAGAGTCTTCCCATCTTTGTATTGATATCTCATCGCCACTTTTATCTCCCCCATCACACTTGGCACAACCTGAAGTTTTCTGGGGGTATGCCTTTGGCCACCAGCTTCTTGTCCCCTGTCCCCATAGGCTGACACTCTATGAGGGCAGGGCCCTAGCCATCTTGTTCATTGCCATGTCCAGTCTCTGGGTATTGTCTAGCGCATAGAAGGTCTTCAGTACCTATTTGCAGGATAAATGTTGCACGAGGCCTCGGGACCATGGACTGGAGGTTTCCTGGGGTGCTGCCTGCTCTGTCTTGTCTCTGGGGGTGGCCCACTGAACTTTTATGGCACCACTTGCTTGATACTGGCTGTTTGCCAAAGACCATCTGAATAGGGTCCTGCCCTGACCAGTTTCACCCCATCAGACTTACTTCTGGCATGCACTCAGGACATGAGGATTCTACTCTGGGATGTAGTAATAATAATAATAATAATAATAATAATAATAAAAAATTAACCCTAAAAGACACCTTGGCTAAAATTCCCTGCTTTCCACTCATCCCAGTCCTCTCCCACAGAGGCCCTAGAATGCCTTATTCTGGAAAGGATCTGCACCCTTTTGGGGGTAGAGGTCCCCCACACTTCACCTCTACCTCTCACCAAGTTTCTCCTCGTGGAAACTCTCAGGCCACCTGTGCCTTCCTTTATGCGCACACTTAGATCCAACACTGTGTCTGGTGGTCCCGTCTCTGCTCCAGGAAGTGCCAGGGTCTTCACTGACCAGCTTAGCCTCTCAATTGTTGGAAGTCCCTCCAGGCCTCTTCCTGAAGGTCACGCCCCGAACTGTTGCCGTTATTTCCCTGTAGCTCATCCGTGTGGCTCATTCAGGGCTTGACACAAGATGTGAAGGATTTTTTTGAATGGAGTATAGTTGCTTTACAGTGTCGTGTTAATTTCTACTGTACAACAGAGTGAATCAGTGATATCTATATGCATATCCCCACACAGGATGTTTAAATTCTTTAAGCATTAAGGAATGTTAATTAAAAAAATTGAAAACGATGCTAGCTCACAATTATCGAGCTCTTGATGTGTACCGGGCATTGTGAAAACGTCTCACCTGTGAAATCTTGTTGAACACCCTTGCGTGGCAGGCACTTCTATGGTGCCCATTTTTCAGATGAGGAGTTTGAAGTTAAGAGAGGTTCTTGTCTGGCCTCACACCTGATGAGGGGGCCTGAGTCATCTTCCTGGGGCAGAAAGGAATCCAGATGAAGTGATCAGAGAAGAGAAACGTGCAGTTGGGGGTCACAGAAGGGGCCAGTTTTGGAGAGGGCTCAGCATAAGACCCTCACCTGCAGTCCTCTCTTAGTAAAAACGTGGATGGTTAGTTTGTTGGGTAAATAAAACAAACCCACAGTTTTTCTCTTTCCTCTTGATCACTGTTGGTTAGTGATCGCCCCTCCCAGAAAATCACAATTTTCCTCCCTGGGAGCTTGGAAAATAGTTATCAGCCTGTCAATGTTGGTGAGAAATTTGGGAAGTCTGAGCCAAACTTGGCTCAGATTTCCCCAGCGGATCCTACGGTGCCCAGCTCCTACCCCTCCACTGCCGCCGTGGTGCTGAAAGGGTGTCAGGAGGTACCTGGCCTCAAACTTTTGTTGCTATGACAACCTTCCTTCTGGGTTCTGCGACCATTTTAAAATTTCTTTCTACTTGGAAAGGGGAAAAAAAAACACCCCCCAACACGCTCCCCCTGCCCACCCCCCCAGGAACAAAATCCTGTTCTCCTCGCAGAACATGGCCAACCAACTTCCTTCCCTCCCACCCTGAAACTACAGGAAAGGTTTTCTTCCTTTCTCTGCATTTTATGTTCACTCCAGTGAAAACACCAACCTCGAAATCCTAACCTCTCCATGAGAGGCAGCTGTTAAATGCTCCTTCCTCTCAAATGCCTGTTCGGTAATTTCTTTCTGTGCTCAGGGTAAAAACCTCTCCCCACTCTGGGCAGCCACAGGGAAATCTAATAAGCCCCCTTTCCCACACTAAAAAAAATCTACAGGGTTCCCAAAGAAAACTGCAGCCTGTCCTAAACAGACACGATCTCCCCAGACCCGGCACAAAGGAGGCTTTTCTCTTTCCTCCAAGAAGGAGCATCAGCCTCCTTCAACAGGCAGACAGGGAAGCGTGGCCTCGACACAGAATTACCCCAAGCCCTTCACGCAAATTGGATTTCTCTTCTGGCTGAGATGCTCGGAAGGCACGGGTGGGTGCAGACGCAGGCCTTGGGGTTGGAGGGGCGGCAGAGAAAGGCCTGGAGGAGAGATGAGGGAAGGTCTGGAGGTGGGCGGGAGGGGGTGGTGGGAAGGAGGCTGCGCTGACGGGAGCGCAGGTGATGTTTGAGCCTGAGGAGAAGGGTGACTCTGGAGGATTGATGGGGTGGCTAGGTCTAGGGGAGCTTGTGAAGGTGTGTGGAGGGAAGCGGGACTGGGGTGGCCGGCGAGAAGGGAGAGAGAAGTCAGGGGAAGGAGGAACAGGATGTTTGGTGTCCTGACTCTAGACCCATTCTGTTCCCTGTCATGGGTGGGACAAGGTCCAGGAAGGATGGATGCCTCGTGATATCTCTTTTTATAACAGTGTGGTTTGGGCAAGGGCCTCAGTTTGCTGGCCTGTAGAATGGGGTTTATGAGGATCAGAGCAACTAGCAGCTGCTCAAGGAGCAAGGATTCAGTGAAACAGTGAGGGGACATGCTGGGCACCTGTTGGGTGTGTGATGCCTGGTCACTTCTGTGTTGCCCCCCCGTCTGAGCCGTATTGTCTCTTCCGTGGACTTCTGCACCTGTTCCACCATTGCCCCCAACTCCTGTCAGTTCCTGTCCTCTCTGCAGCTGAGTAATCATCGGATCCTGTCCCTCCTTTGCACAGGTCCCTCTGACAGCCCCCTTCTCACTTAGAATCAAAGCCACATGGTCCCCGAATCTTGAGGCCCTGCATGAGCGTGGCCCTCAGCCCTTCCCGGCTACAAGGCTTCTCTGTCTCCCTGGGTCTTCTCCTTCCCACACTGGCCCCTGACACCAGACATACTCAGCCTCAGGGCCTTTGCACTGGCCCTTCCTTCTGCCTGGAAGGCTCTTCCAGCAGATGGCCACAAAGACTGTTTCAGCAATTAAAAAAAAATTGTTTATTTATTTGGCTGCACTGTTGCAGCATGTTGGATCTTTCAGCTGTGGCATGTGGGATCTGGGCTTGCCAGGTGGCGCTAGTGGTAAGGAGCCTGCCTGCCAATGCAGGAGACATAAGAGACACAGGTTCTATCCCTGGGTCGGGAAGATTCCCCTGGAGGAGGGCGTGGCAGTCCACTCCAGCATTCTTGCCTGGGAAATCCCATGGACAGAGGAGCCTGGCAGTCTACAGTCCGTGGGGTTGCAAAGCGTCAGACATGACTCAGTTACTCAGCACACACGCATGTGGGATCTGGAATCGAACCCGGGTGCCCTGCTTTGGGAGCGTGGAGTTTTAGCCACTGGAGCACCAGGGAAGTTCCTGTTTCCCGAAGCTTCTTGAAGTCAGCTCTCTCCCAGCACCTGATTGAACATTGATCTCCCCACACGTTTCCTGCTTGATTTCTAGCCGCTGGCCACCATCGACTTTGGCTCGGTGTTCCTTGTTTGTTTCACGTGTGGTCCATGGGCTCTGTGCAGGCGGGGGTTGAGTTTCTCTGGGTT